ACCATTAGAATAGCTCAAAGTTGATGTGATGGGCTTGGGAAAAAAGATTATGCACTTTTTATGTTCGGAGTTTTAATTGATCGCGTTATGTTAAGCCATAGCTACGTATAATGTACACTACAGTCTCAAATATGCCTTTTAAAATACGTCAATTAATTAGTTTTAACTTGTATACACGTTTTATCAATGTATAATTGACATTATATAAATATAAAAACATCATTTCGCACCGTATTGTCATTGAATTGTGTTTCCGACATCCCTGCAAAACACGTTTGTGGCGTCCGCAGGAGTACCAACCCACATCTATTACAAACCAAAAAAGCGCCGATGAAAAGAGCCGCTAACTTCACGACGGTGCACACGCACACGTACGACGGCGCTGAAGGGCCACCAACTATAAAAAAAAAAATTTTTCTTCATCTCTGAGAAAAAACTTAGAATTCTGAGATTAAAGTCAGAACGCGGGAAGTAGGCTTCCTCTCTGAGAAAAAAGTCAGAATTCTGAGTTTAAAGTCAGAATATAACTAGTGGGCGTTCCCTCTGAGATTTAAGTCGGATTTTAACTCTTCGCTCTCTATGACGACTGTCTAGTGCTAGTGTAGTGCCTTTTTTTGCTTTGCTCTTCGTCTCTTCTCTTTATCTAACCCCAACCCAACCCGAACCCGCTCTTCTGTACTACACCTACACCACGTGTATAGTGGACATGTGTTGGTTTTATAGTTTAACATGAGTTAATAATAAATTGTAATATCATAGACTCGAGTTCTTTCTTGCTTTGCTTTAGCAAGCTAGCTTCTTTTATAGACCACACAATTTTATACTGCCATCAAGACCATAGGCTACTGGCTAGCTACCTAAAGGTAAGTTTACTCTGTTGTTGGCCTAGGTTAGGCTACTTCCCCTAGGTTACTAAATGTTGTCTTTGGACAAAGATAGTGGAATAAACATGTTTTAGAGCTAATAAGCTGGATTCAAATTAGTGATGGGCGATACGACACGTATCGGAAAAAAATATCGTATCGCATCGGGCAATAATACGTATCGCGATACGTGAATCGTATCGTCAAAAATATCGAAAAACGATACGTAGGCTATCGTATCAGTTCTCCCCTCCCTTACCTAACCTCGAAACGACCAATTTACAAATAAATTAGGAATGTCAAACTAACATTAAGCTAGGGTAACTTGATATTTAGTCAGATAGGAGCTGGGCTAGGCTAGAGCGAGTAGGGCTAGGGCTAGATCAGATCTGCTTGGCTAGATAGAACGCTAGTGGAAATGGACTGGTGACTGGAGGTAGAGTGGAAGACTGAAGACGTAACTTAACTGGAGGACTAGACTGGGAAGGGACTGGTACATTAACTTATCAAGTAAAGACAAAAAATACAGACGTCACAAACTCAAACTCCTATTTTAAACTACACATCCACAGAGTAGGCCTACAGAGTTTGCAGTCTGCTCGGCCTGCGCAAAAAAATCTTAAAAATATCGTTTTGACTTTTGACATGTATTGTATCGCTCTATGTGCTGATATAAATACAAATATCGTTTTAGGCGATACGATACATAGGCTATCGTTTTTTTTTAAATATTGTATCGAAATATCGTATCGTCCCTCGTGTATCGCGATATTCCGATACGATACGTTACGTATTGCACATCACTAATTCAAATCACCTTTTATTAACTTATTTGGACTAAAAATTAATTAAGTTAGGTCTAACTTAGGCTATGCTCACCTTTTTTGGTAACCGAATGTAGATTACTTAGGAGTCGAGCAGTTACTGTCATAACCTAACCTAACCAACCATACTTGCTGATAGTTCAAATTTGAATGGAGGCACAATTCTTACAAAAGATGCACAGTTTTAAGGGGTACAGTTTCTTAACTGGGCTACGCTAGCCTAAAATCGATTGAAACTCGATCGATTAATCGATTCGATTAGTAGCCCCTTCATGCGATTTTTTCACCATAAGCAAGTTTGGTTGGTTAGGTAAGGTTGTACCTAGTTTTATTTTATAAAAGATATATTTAAAAATATCGATTAGGCTAGCTATTTAATAAATATTTTCAATTCGATAGCTTCAATCGATATAAGCGTAGCCCAATTAAGAAACTGTAAGTACCCGTTTTAAGAAAAAATGGCATCCAAAGCAAAATCTTTGACAAAAAGTTAATGTTAGGCCTACCAAAGGGTTTCAAACCAGATAACTTATCTCATGTATATCAGCCGAGCAATCCATCCACTAGGCTACACCACAAACACAGATAGGCATAGCGGTAAATATGCATTTGAGGGTTTGCACGCGATTTTGAATTTTTGGGTACGTCACATGAAATAAATAGATAGCCTAGGCCTAAGTTTATGACAAGTTTTATCCAAAAATATATCCATAATCAAGCAATTGAAAACAGTTTTCTTACTCTCCATAAGAATAACTTACCGGTAACATTTGTTATTAAAAATTTTCTCTGGGACCAATATAACTATACAAAAACACTTCAATATAAGTTAGGCCTACTAAATTAGCCTATTTGTGTTTTTAAGCTCTTTAAAATTGTCTAAAAAATATTTGGAAAATTTTATGTTTTGAGCGTCAAAAACGAGGAAAACCAATTTTTAACCCATAAATAATCCCCTAATAAAACGCCGTTCCCATGGCCACATGCTGGTTCGTGAACTTGTTAGAAGTAACGTAGGCCTAGGTTTACAAGTTTATACCAAATTTCATCAAATCACATATCATTTTTGCACATCGTGCTAATGGACAAATATATTTATATGAAGTTGAACGGATGGTGTTTTTGGCTTATACTAACTTAGGTTGGCCTACATCAAAATGAAAAAAGTAAATCGGTCCCGGGTCCAAGTCTTACCATGAGACCTAGGCTGGTAATAGCCTATTCCCTATATGGGAAATTCGCTAAAACCAAAAACATGTCAAGTATAAATACTGTACAGTAATATTTTGTGTAATCCTACTACCTATGTTGTTAAGCATTAAAAACATCAGGTCCATTGTTTTTACTTTTACCTGAGTTACTTGCTTGATTATTTTTGTTCAGTATGTTTTATTTTAGTGTAGGGCTAGGCCTAGCAAGTTTTTGCTTTGATTGTCAACATCAGCACCCCTCTCCCTTAAGTAATTAAACTTTCCATCCTCATTAAACAATTTCAAAATAATAATTAATGACTTAAGTTAAGTCTAAATAATATAGCCTACTGCCAAGGTTAATTGCTATTGAAGACTTTTTATTTTTAGAATAACCAATGTGTTACCAACTATGGAGGAAATGGAAGATGACAATTTTTATGACTTTCTACGAAGTCGAGGTATCAAAGAAGACCAAATCAGCTATTTAATAGAGGAAAAGGTATTTGTATAGGCCTACTATAAATCAACTTTATTAACCTACCATAGGCCTACTTATTTATTTAGACTTATAGTAGATTCCCTCTAATCTGGACACCTTTTAACTGGACATTGGTTTATCTGAACTACACTAGGCGAAAATGACATCTCTTTAACCGGAAAATTTGTATCAGCATATCAGTTTAACCAGACTAGATCGGCAGGAAGTGGGTTGTATAGGCTACTAAAACCACTGTTACTGTTCTTGTGGAAAGGATTTGAGACCAGTGATCATGTGTCTAAATACGTAATAATCATTATTGTGTTATACAGTATGCAATCAAACGGTCAGTTTTTAGGAACGTCGGATTAACTGGAAAAACCGTTAGGCCCAGACTGGCCTCGGTCCAAAGGAGTCCGGATAAGAGAGAGTCTACTGTAATAAATAGATAAACAGATTTCCATTTCTGTCTGTCTGTCTGTCTGTCATGGTTAAAGTTCGACATATACTCTTAGGTGTTGCAAACATAGCCTGGTAAATTATTAAATAGTAAAACATGTGATATTGGATTACATAATATAAAAATATATTACAGTTTCCTTGGTAAGCTCTTGCAGCGACAAGAAGCAATACTGTAATTTTTGCAAATTGCTCTTACTCAGCAGTTAAACGTTTTCATAAAGGGGGATACTTCTGTAAGCTCTGTCTTGTAAATTTATAATACCGTACTCAAGTGCTTAAACATATAGGCCTACACAACCACGGATGTTTTATATTGTTAATAACTATTCATCTTACAACTTTACACATAAAATGCCATCTTTAATATTGATAATAATTTATTCAATTTTCAGATTGATGGCCCTGCGTATTTATTAATGTTCAAGAATGAATCACCCGACCTAGTAAGATTATTTCCAAAATTTGGAGATAGGTATGCAATTTTAAATTTTTGTCAAAGAAAAGAGTCGTTAACAAAAAGAAAACAAAGTCTAATTGAGAGGCTGAAAGGGAAAGTAAATAAAGATGTTGTGAAAGTAAATAAAGATGTTGTGAGAAACGATGGCCAACGAAAGAGAGTAGCAACAATCAGTCCCGATGAAAGTGATGAAGATGAAATATTTTTGCCGAAACAGACAACTTCGCTTAAATCCAAATTAACAAGAAAAACTTTCGACCGTAGAAAAATAGAAATTGGATGGGTTTGCCAGAAGGGTTCTTCGCTCAATCTCACCCAAATAAGAACAAAGCAAGGAGGCGGAACAAGGAAATTAACTCTGTGCAAAAAATCAAATAAAAGCCAAATATTAAATGAAGCCCTTAAAATGTTTTTCCCCGGGGGAACAAACATGTATGGAAATATTGATGATTATGAACATGATATATTTGATTTTAAACAAAATATTCTACCAGATACAGTTACTATAGAAGAAATGTATCAAACAACTGGGCTATCAATGCTTCGGTTTTACTTATCTTCAGTTAAAAAAACTGTCCGTCCACAGTCAGAACCTGTATTATTTGATCTTACAAGCCATGTAGAATCCACCAGTAATCAGCCTGTTGCGTTATTTGATCCTTTGTCAGTATCAGATATGTTATTTGATCCAGTAAGATAACACTTAGAAACCACTTGTGATGAACTCCAAAATTATCCAGCAAGTAGCCACTTCGAAACCGCTTGTGATGAACTCCAAAATTATCCAGCAAGTAGCCAATTAGAAGCCCCTAGTGATGAACTGCAAAATTATCCATCAAGTAGCCACTTAGAAGCTAGTGATGAACTCCAAAATTTAGCATACGATATTTCTTTGGACGCAAGCAACAAAACCAAACTCATAATTCACAGGGGGCAAGTCCTAAATGAATTAATTGAAGCTTTTCAACATTTGAAAACTTATGAAAGAATTGAGATTGAAATGATTCTGCCTAACGGGCAGCCTGAAAGGGCACTGGATACGGGTAAGTGCTTTTAATAGCCTTATATTTCTACCATAAAAGGTTTAGAAAAGAACTTATCCAGCTGGGATTTTTTACTGGGCTAGATTATTTACTGTCAAAGTCTATAGTCAGTGCTGTTAATATTACATTATAACTAGCAACAGTGCCCGTTGTAGTTAATTTAAAATTTTATAAACTGTACAGTAACCTATCAGAAGATTGAAAAATACCTTCTCCCATTAATTTGACATTTATATTGAACATCCTATTGCTTGTATTTGAAAAAAAAAATTTAGGCCTAAAAATAATTCCATGGGTAAAGAACAGAAAAATTGGGGGGAAATGAAAATATGTTTTTTTAGAATACAATGTTGGAAACTATCGCAGAATATGAATGAAAGTAATTTTAGGTTACTTGATGAGTTTTAACTAGCGAACCTTGCGCACGTATAGGAGAAGAAGGATTAATATTGATTTTTTTATTTAACGTTTTCTGGTTTCTTGGTTTTGTTGTTAAAGGTGGATATAAAGACCTAATTTTTTTCGGAGTTGAAGTGCCGTTTTTGCAGTTTTTCCCCTGAAAGTTAGTAAAAGATTCTCTTTTGATTAATTGATGATACCCTTAATCAACAAAACTCACCTAAGTTTTTTTCCGATCTTATCTTCCTAGCATCCTTATTCCTTACCCTAGAACTCACATCCGTAAAGCGTTGCTGTCTCAACACCCTTTGTACAGAGCTATCAATACCCTTGCCGCAAGCTATCCAATAACACCTTAAAATAGTCATCAAATACGTGGCTTTGAAACAATTTAATGATCACTAAATTCATGTTGGTCTATTAAATATATAGAATAGATGTTTGTAATTTCTTTTAGGTGGGGTGTTGCGAGACTGCCTGGGTGAATTTTGGACATCTTTTTACGATCAGTTTACGGAGGGAACCACACTAAAAGTAAGTTACCCATAAAATATTAATTTTAAACTTTCTCAAATTGATCATGGCTCAGTAAATTCTTACTTTAAAATTGAAGTGATTCCAGAACAAGAAGAGTGCAGTAACTTATATCAAATTATGAGGTCAAACTTATATAGCATAACATATTTCCTAAAATGTATTGTAAATTGTTGTACTTAACTAAATACAGTAGGCCTACTATAGGTAAAAGAAGTGTTGGTTTAATAATGAGAGTTTTTGATAGTTTATGTAAATTGAGTTTTTCTGTTAACTCGCCACTTGAGAGTTCCAGCCATTTTGTATCCTTGTCTTTTTAATACCTAGCTGTGTACTCGTACTTCACACGGGTTGAATGATATACTTAGTACAAATAATACAATGAGGACTCGTTTAGCATCAAGTGTAAATTCAAGCATTCAGTGTATGGCAATGATATAAATAGTTATAAAGTTATTATAACTTTCTAACACAATATTAAATACAGTGTCTTAAAAACAAATACAATATGGAATCAATGGCAGTTATGCTATTTAACATCAGGGTGGCTAGTGACCTGGAAAACCTGGAAATGTCAGATAACATTAAATATCTGGAAAAGTCAGGGAAAATTGTAAAATGTTTACAATTAATAATTGTTAAGAAAGGTCGATCTGGGGCCCTATTTTTGAAATGGTTGACAGTTGAGTAAATCGTCAACACTCAACTCAACAAACAACAGGATTTGGTATTTTTGAAATCCAACAGTTGAGAAGTGAGTTGGGAATCACTAGTTGAGTGACTCGTTAGGAAATAAATAAGATCTTAATCTTAGTGATTGTAAAAGTACCGTACCTTCTAGTATTAAAAATAATATTTACTATGAATGCTTGTTTTAGGCTGTAGCTCATTATAGGTATACCCAAATTAAATCATTTGCTTTCTTCATCTATTTCAGAGCACATCACCTTATTTCAGTTCTCTTCATCGTTTTTTTTTTCATGTTATTGCAAGGGGCTATGATACAGGCCTTAATATGCTTAATATATGATACAGCGCTTAATACATAAAGTTCATCAATAAATTTTGAAAAATTAATCATATTTGATTTTTAGGCCTACTTGATTTTTAGCAGCAAACGTCTTGATTATGTCAGAAAATTGAACTTTTGTTGCTCATACACATTTAATTGAGATGATACTTGCTGAGTCTGTGATTGTCTTGTCTGCTACAGTACACTATCGCCGAATATAGGCGAGCCATAGTGAGCATAATAGTGTACTCGGTCTGCTCGTGTACTTTTGGGATAGTTTGCAACTCAAGCCAAAATCTCGGTGAAACATTCGCCCAAACCCTCGGCGATAGTGTACTGCTAGCACTGATCAGTGGCGGATCCAGCCTGGAGTGGGGAAAAAAATTGCTATCGACCGCGGCATAAATGTGGACACGCAACGTACAACTGTCCATGAGAACCTCTTGGACTCATCCTATATAAATCAAACAACAACTAAGAATAAATAAATTAATTTTTAAACATATTTTAAAAAGAAAATTACATAAAAATCATTATCTTTTATTTTCAGGTACCTATTATCACGCAAGAATTCAAAGAGGAGCAGTGGACTGCCATCGCCAAAATTATCAAAATGGGATGGGAGCAGGAAAAATACTTTCCAATCAAAATTGTTCCAACACTATTTGAACAGTGTTTTTATAAAAATATTTCTTCTAATTTAGTCCCTGTGTTTTTAAAATGCCTGGGTGCATACGAGTCTAAAGTATTAGAGGACGCTATTCTTAACTACTCTTCAGTAGATGAAAATGATCTAATCGAAGTATTTTCCAACCTTAAATCCAAGCGGAAGCCCTCAAAAGAGAACATTGCTCCCTTGTTATATGAAATTGCTCACAGGGAGCTAGTTCAGAAGCCTTTTTTTATTACTGAATGTTGGGCTCCTGTGTTATATGGTCTCATGCCAGAGAGCACTTTTACAGCTCTTAGGCAAAACATGTTGCCAACCTCGAAGAATATTTTAGAGAGGTTACATTCTTCAGAAGTCAGCACTGGAAGTGAAAACAATGCGGTATTTAACTTTCTAAAAAGATTTATAAGAGAAGCTGATGAGCACATTCTAACATCATTTGTTAGGTTTTGCACTGGTGCCGATATTTTAACTGAAGGATATATCATAGTTACATTTAATAATTCAAGTGGGTTTTCTAGGTCTCCTGTTGGTCACGTATGTGGCAGGACCCTAGAATTGCCAAATACGTACGATAACTTTGTTGAATTCAGGAAAGAATTCACTTCCATACTGAGTTCTGGCATTTGGGTAATGGATTTAATATAATGTTTATGTTTATTGAACGCTGAAGGATTAGGCGACCCTTTGCCAACGCCTGTGCACTCACCAGCACGGGCACATCCCCTTTCCTTGGGACCTGCCCTTTCGCTGGTTGGTGGCTCATAGCTCATATACTTAAATAGCTTGTGTACTTAAATGTTGTAAATTATAATATTTGTTCTTTATGAAACGTGATATGTACTAATGTCGATGCAAATGAAAATTTGTTGGAAATAGAGTCCAAACATGATATAATTAGGCTACAAAGATTTAAGGAACAAATTGAAACTATCTTTCAGTTGACTACAATATATTCAGCACAGTTATAACCTACATTTTGTATAGTAGAGAAGAGCTGACACTCCGTACTATTATAAGCAAATTAAAGAGATACATTTTTAAAATATATTACTACATTATTAGGCCTACTTATCAAAAAAATAAAATTAGTAACCTATAAAAAAAACATAAATATGTACAGTACAATACATGCACATTGTACAGTCAGTATTTACAAAATAATAACTGAACAAAAATAATTTGTACTATAGCCTATTTCAAGAAGGAAAAAAATCAGTCATAAATCTTCAGTTTTGGTCATGCCAATAAATATAGCCTACTTATTTGATAGAAGGGAACAGTATTCCATAAGACATTTTCTAACACTATACTTTAATACTTACTTATAAATATAAAAAACATAACACAAAATATATACATAATACAATTAACATGATGATGTGTATGTTTAATTTAAACAAAAACTTATAATTCAAATTGAATATTATGCCCAAAATAAAACAGCAGTTATTTAAGTTTTAAGATGCACAATAATTATTCCTTTGAACACAATATCATTGTATCGTGTCTAGACTCATTTTTTTTTGTCTTAATAAGAAGATTTTAAACTACACAAAATCATCAACTTCCAGAATCAAATTTAAAAAAATTTTAGAGCGTAGCCCTATAGCAGTGTCGGTTAGGTTAAAAGGCTGGACCCTGATGGGTGAGAGTGTGTGTGTAGTGGTGAGGGTCGCCTAATCCTTCAGTTTCCACCGAGCTCCTGCGACAGTATAGTACAGTACTGTACTATTATTAGGAGGCATTGCCCAGGGCCGGATTTAGCATTTTGGCGCCCCTAGGCCCAATAATCTTTCGGCCCCCTAGTCTGGTTAAACTTACTTAAAAAGTTAATTTTATAACTTAAAATTAGAAAAAAAATTTAAATTTTTTCAACTTAGCGGTTCTAGAGGCGAACACTGACACTACAAGGTATGTTAGTCATAGTCCCTCCCGTGTGCCCCAACGCTGTTTAACCCTCCGAGTATCCCTTGTTGTGGCCTTAATGTCTGCCTATTTTTTGCTCATTTGTAAGGTTTTATTAAAACGGATCTGAGAAGCTTGAAAACAATGTTAATTATACTGTTCTATATACCATTTTTTTGGAAAATCATGGGCTTCAATATTATACATAGAACATAAGGAACATTTATTTCAAAAAAATTTTTAGGTAAAAAAAAATATTTTTGGAAAATTAAAAAAAAAAATAAGTTTGCGCTCATTGAAATTGTATTAATTATAGGCCTATAAATATTTGAAAATAGCCACTTTGTTCTAAATTTTATGAGGGTTGCAAATATATAATAATATAAGGAAGTAGATTTGCAAATAAATAAGTTATGGGCAAAAAACAGATTTCAGTACATAGCGTTTAGCTAAGAATGCATAGCCTAACCATAGCTAGGAATCTGGCTGATAATTTACATCAATATCACTACCTACTTCTTAAGGATCATCAACCAGCAATTCAAAATCACTTAAATCTTCTTATAATGCACCACGTATATCACTACTGTTGATTTTCAACACTAAAACAAACGTAATAAAACACATCAGTAATCGGTCCGAGGTTAACTAAGCTGTTTACAAATACGCACGTCAGCTGTCTGCTACAATATTTTCGGAACTAAAATGAATAGCGCTTAGAGACAGACCTCCGGAGAAAGCTCTGAATCTGTCAAATAAAACGATACCTAACTCGATCCAGTTCAATCCGATTTTGTCAGTCATAGAGCCTTCGCCGTAAACAGTGTTTATGAGTCGCTGCAGCAGCGACACAAAACACTACACAAAGTGTGTTATGTGTCGCTGCAGCGACAAATAACACTTGGAGGGTTAAACAGTATCAAACATAAATTTTGAAATCAACCCTAAAATTAAATATACTAAATTCTGTCGTCGCTAGTACCAGTGTCAAGCGCGAACTAGACAAGAATAACAATATTTAGAATTTGCAATGTGATGATAAGTCTACTTGTGTTGGTTGTCTATGGTGATACTATAGCCTATAGTGTTACTGCATTGAGATTATATTCGCAAAAAACCAACACAAAATATTTTGACCAATCATACCGATATTGTTAATAAAGGATAACGTAGGCCTGAGAAGACAGTGTAAGATTTTAAATGCCGCTTTGGAGATTATTTGATCGTTCTAAAACCTATTGCAAACTCAGATTGATATTTTAAACAGTTTTTTAACGTTCAACATAACATACATTTTAACTTGATTTTAAAGTTTGTTTTAAGCTAATCAAAAGATTTTGGGAGGTGAGGGTGGTAACAGTGTCTCGACAATAACATAGGCACATGCATGCACCTCTTTATAAACAATCCGACTGATCCGAGTAGATGCGCAGACTGCCGAGCCAGCATAGTGGCTTTTCCCGTGTTTAGATCTCGATGTTGATGCTTGGTGTCTAGTGTCGGAAATAGATTAATAAAAATTTTGAGATCTTCATAATCATAAGGCTTTACTAGCCAGAATTTTTGAAAATCAATTAGCAAAATAAGTTAAGTTATATTTTTATTTCTAGACATAAAAACTATTTTTCCTTCGGCCATGCGCCCCCTGGGAACTTGCGCCCATAGGCCTACCGGGCCTATTGGGAAATCCGACCCTGGGCATTGCCCAGAAATCAATCTCATATGCAATGTGTGGAAAACATTTATAATGTGGTTCATTACCTAGTACGTAATGTTTTTAACGTTACATGATACATTTGTATATTGAACTAACTTGTTTTGTTTTAATGTAAGGTATGAATACATTTACTATGTCGTACTATCGGTTAAATTACCTCGTAGGTAATGATCATATTTGCACAAATCGTACTGGGTATTATAGGGTGTATCTAGAGGTGTTTTTCATGACTAAAATTGTCCTTATGTAATGTTACATAATATATTTGTATATTGGATTAACTTGTTTTGTTTTAATGTGTAATGTTTTAATGACTTTTGTTTTGTTTGACATTTACTATGTCGTACTATCGGTTAAATTACCTAGTAGGTAATGATCATGTTTGCACAAATCGTACTGGGTATTATAGGGTGTATCTAGAAGTTAGTGTTTTTTCATGACTAAAATTGTACTTATGTAATGTTTCATAATATATTTTTATATTGAATTAACTTGTTTTGTTTTAATGTAAGGTATGAATACATTTATTATGTCGTACTATCGGTTAAATTACCTCGTAGGTAATGATCATATTTGCACAAATCGTACTAGGTATTATAGAGTGTATCTAGAAGTGTTTTTTTCATGACTAAAATTGTCCTTATGTAATGTTTCATAATATATTTGTATATTGAATTAACTTGTTTTGTTTTAATGTAAGGTATGAATACATTGACTATGTCGTATTATCGGTTAAATTACCTAATAGGTAATGATCATATTTGCACAAATCGTACTGGGTATTATAGAGTGTATCTAGAAGTGTTTTTTTCATGACTAAAATTGTCCTTATGTAATGTTTCATAATATATTTGTATATTGAATTAACTTGTTTTGTTTTAATGTAAGGTATGAATACATTTACTATGTCGTACTATCGGTTAAATTACCTAGTAGGTAATGATCATATTTGCACAAATCGTACTAGGTATTATAGAGTGTATCTAGAAGTGTTTTTTTCATGACTAAAATTGTCCTTATGTAATGTTTCATAATATATTTGTATATTGAATTAACTTGTTTTGTTTTAATGTAAGGTATGAATACATTGACTATGTCGTATTATCGGTTAAATTACCTAATAGGTAATGATCATATTTGCACAAATCGTACTGGGTATTATAGAGTGTATCTAGAAGTGTTTTTTTCATGACTAAAATTGTCCTTATGTAATGTTTCATAATATATTTGTATATTGAATTAACTTGTTTTGTTTTAATGTAAGGTATGAATACATTTACTATGTCGTACTATCGGTTAAATTACCTAGTAGGTAATGATCATATTTGCACAAATCGTACTAGGTATTATAGAGTGTATCTAGAAGTGTTTTTTTCATGACTAAAATTGTCCTTATGTAATGTTTCATAATATATTTGTATATTGAATTAACTTGATTTGTTTTAATGTAAGGTATGAATACATTTACTATGTCGTACTATCGGTTAAATTACCTAGTAGGTAATGATCATATTTGTACAAATCGTACTGGGTATTATAGGGTGTATCTAGAAGTGTTTTTTTCATGACTAAAATTGTTCTTATGTAATGTTTCATAATATATTTTTATATTGAATTAACTTGTTTTGTTTTAATGTAAGGTATGAATACATTGACTATGTCGTATTATCGGTTAAATTACCTAATAGGTAATGATCATATTTGCACAAATCGTACTGGGTATTATAGAGTGTATCTAGAAGTGTTTTTTTCATGACTAAAATTGTTCTTATGTAATGTTTCATAATATATTTGTAATTTGTATATTGAACTTACTAGTTTTGTTTAATTTTAGGAAAATTTGATTTCACCATGAGAAAGTTGTACAACATAAATTGAAATTTGAGCTAATAAAATATTTGTAGCTACAGTATAATCCAAAAAGTTTTATTACACCCAAATGGTAAATACATTTGTAAATACGTTCAATTAAACGGAACTCATGATTAATAACATAAACACTGTTTTGAAAAAAAATATATTTCCTTTAATATTTTACAGCTATATAGTTACAAAAAGATGAGATGGCTTTAAATGTGCACATTTTTAAATGCAAATGGCATAATTTTTATTTTGTACATTATTCTGACCTAAAACTACACAACTGACTCAAGTAGACCAAAAATACTCAATTGGTCAAATCACTAGTATAGAGGCTGAACTCTCTGGCCTTTACAGACTTTCTAAGGAAAATCTGTATGGAACAGGTTTTGGGTGAATTAATTATTATTGAACATTAGCCTATAGCAGTAACTCATGGATTTCACTTCTTAGTGTGGAGTATAACGTTACTCCCTCATAGGGATCTGCAGGTAAGTGCAGTCCCTTCTCTCCCATGATAATATTGCAAAGTTCATAAACATCCTTGTCACAGATGTTACCATTAAACATACATTCTTCTTTGCAATGATTAAGCCTAAGCTGATCAACCTCTTTTATATAGTCTTTCGAGTTGTATATCTGAGGTGCACTATATAAAACAATCGGTCTGCCGGCAGGAGCAATTGCATTTCTTGATCTTGTTATAATGTGCGAGTTCCATTCAACAGCTACTGTATCCAGCTCTGCCTGAAAAAAAGAATGCTATCTCAAGATTTGTTGGTTTATTTAAAATTACTGTATTTATAGGCATGATCTGTGGATGCAATACTCCCTGGGTGTGGATTTACGTCCACACTAGTGAGAAGGCCTGCACGACTATCTGCAGTACTAACTTATTCTGATGATAAGACCAATTGGTAAATTACAAGGCAAATATGTGGTTTGGATTCCACTACTGTTAGGATTATAAATTGCCATTGGTTGTATGGACTACCTATTAATCAATTTCAGCCTTAGTCATTAACAAGAGTCAAAGAAACATTTACAATTGCATGTTAGTAATTTTTATTAAATAAATTACTTTAATTCTGAGGAGATGTCATGAGAATTCAAATTCTTGCAATAGCTGGGTTTAATGTTATAATATAACTTGTCTGCTTACCGAAACAGACTACACATTTTATGGATTTTTTTTGTCAAAAGCATTGCTTTACTCAGAATTTGATGTATTTATTGTTCTCTGATTTTTCCTAGGCGCGGAGAGTGGAAAAGAAATTAACATGGTGTTCCGCTCCGCTTCTGGGAAAACTAACATAAAATACCTAAGACAAGTGGAGTCCGCTCTCCGCGTTCCTCTCTCCACTCTCCACTTCCGCACCTAGGAAAACCCGGCTTAACAGATTTAAAATATAGAAGTGAATCTGTACTTATTTAATACACAAGCAGGATTTTTGTGACAATTACTCCTCCGAAACTACTGAACCGATTGACATGTTTTTGGTGTCATTGGAAAGAGCTAACTGAAGTTGTGCAGGGAACTTTCTTTTTAGGTAAATAATTAGAGAGTGGGGCCCTTTAAAGTTTCGTATTCCTCCATAAGATTAACATGGGAAACAAACATTGTTTTGAAACTCCAGCTGTTAGAAATTAAATGTTAATAATTTTGGTCTCCATTGAAGCATGAGAAAATTCACAATGTTTACATTGCTTTGACATTTAAATGTAAACAACCATGCATAACTGTCAAATGCCTATTTCACAATTTCAGACAGCTGATAAAAAAAAAAAACAAAAAAATAAAACAACTATGTGGTAGGGCCTTGGGTTTATTTAATTGTAAACTTTATGGGAGTTTATTTATATAGATAAATCTATTTAAATGATTATGAAACAGATGTTTCCCGTTGTGAAGCAAAAATTAAAAGTGAGAAGAAGAACATATGTTACCGGTAATTGTTTTGTAAACAGTCAATGTGTAAATTATCCATGGTGGAAGGAAAAAACATAGATGTGCTATTCCCGTCATATTCTGACGTCACTAGGATTGCAAACGTCACCTAGGACGCAAAAGATCACCTGATTGTAACTGCCAAATTAGTATGTATTTGTTTTGATTTTATTGTTATTTTTTTTATAAAAACAATAACAACCAAATCAAAACCAATACAATATACTATTTTGACAGTTACAATCAGGTGATCTTTTGTTTGCAATCCGAGTGACGTCAGAATATGACGGGAATAGAACACCAATGTTTTTTCCTTCCACCATGTAAATTATCTATGTGTTGTATTAAAAATGTGTATAGTTTTGGATATTGTTTTCTGTTTAATGATGGTAAGTTATCAATTATTGAAATTAAGATGAATCAAACTTAGTATATTGATTGATATTAATAAATAAAATAGACTCAAATCACTTACTTGAATCATTCTCAAGAAGGAGAATTGAATCAATGATTTGTCCATGAAGGATCCTGAAAAGAGGCCATCTTCTTTCAAATTTTGAAATAAGTTCATCCAAAACTGTGAGCATTGTTTGCGAAGTATTGACCACCAAGCCTCTATCCTTTGATTTGACTGACTGGTACCATACAGCCAAGCAGTTTCTGGCATATTATCTTCTTTTGCACGCAAGTATATTTGCATTTGTTCAACATATCGGTTTTCCGTACCACAGTCACCTCTTATACGAACAGGACAACCTCCAATTGATTCTACTGTATGCACAAAATACCCAGCAATAATTCGAGGATCACTTGTGTTAGTACTTGCCTTAAGCCACATTAATTTACGTGAAAATCCATCTATGCAACCATGGACACATATGCCGTATGGTTTTAATTTGTCATATGCATCTAAATGCCAAAGATAGTTTGGGCCTTTGTTCTTATATATTCGCCGACGTAAACGTTTGCGGGTCCTGAGGTCAAGTCCTACAGGGTCAAGTTCCTTAAGAATTGACCTAACTGTAGTTTGTTTCACTACAAAGCCATTTTGGATGCATTTCAAATGCATCCATCTATATCCATGTAATTGGCCTGAATAGTTTAGCTCATTCCTAATGAAATCTTTCACCTCTTCAATTGATGAATAGTTGATCCTCCTACACAAACCTAACTTTTTTAAAATTCGTTTTAACTGTCTAATACTCAACACAATGTTATATTTACAAGCAAGTAAGGCTACTATTTCTGCATGAGCCAAGCCTAATCTAAAATAATCACCAATAATGGCTTCTCTTTCATCAGGGTCCATTTCGGTTTCGGTTGGGCAACATCCCACGTTCACGCCATATCCACGTTAATTGAAATATCACGACGAATTTGCAAGTTATATACCTCCGTATTTAGTCAAAGTTTCAGTTTTAAAGTCAATATTTCGTGATTAAAAGTAGACATTTCATGTTTACGAGCTGAAATCTGGTCAACCTTCACGCTTTCCGCATTCTGACTTTAAACAAAGAACTATAAGATTATTCACAGAGAGAAATGCCCACAAGTTCAATTCTGACTTTAATCTCAGAATTCTAACTTATTTCACAGAGAGGAACGCCCACTTGTTAAACTTTGACTTTAATCTCAGAGGGGAACGCCCACTAGTTAAATTCTGACTTTTATCTCAGAATTCTAACTTTTTTCTCAGAGAGGAACGCCCACTAGTTAAATTCTGACTTTAAACTCAGAATTCTGACTTTTTTCTCAGAGAGGAAGCCTACTTCCCGCGTTCTGACTTTAATCTCAGAATTCTAAGTTTTTTCTCAGAGATGAAGAAATTTTTTTTTTTATAGTTGGTGGCCCTTCAGCGCCGTCGTACACACGAGCACACAAAGCAAGCCAAAAACAACTTTACAGATGATAATTAATTATCACTTCCCGTTCCAGCTTAGCTTACAATCAAAACAAACTCAAACCAAACTGGATTAGACTGAGGGACTGAGCTGAGCTCAGTGAGCTGTTCCACGGCCGCCTTTAACCATTAGAGGTGGCTGTGCTTTAACACCAGGCGGCCGTAGCTGTTCCCGTTCCAGCTTAGCTTACAATCAAAACAAACTGGATTGACAACATGCTAAAACTATAACCTATACTATATGATTTTTATTATTACTGAATAAATTAAATAACTTACCTAAAAAAATTGGTGAAAGTTTGTGATCTGACACTCGACGTTCTGTACCCACGAGCACCTCAGCTTCCACATGCACAGGATAACAGCTATTTGTGTAATAGCTTCACTGTATACTTTAATTGGACCTGTTTAGATAGTTGTTTCGTTTCAACAGTTGCAGTTTGCAGTTGCGAACTGTGCATTGTGATTTTAAGGTGTTTATTCTTTACTGTTTGTTTATTTTTGACTTGAGCTGCTTGAAAAAGTGTTTTGTGATTATGAAAATTAAAATGTTGTGAGTGAGCTGAGGCTGATTATTTGTTATTAGGTATTAACAATTAAATATTTTGCGTGCATGAATTATTTATGAAGTTTTAAATGTTCACTTAACTTATCTTTTTCGGATTCCTCAAGAAAGAGTGATTGTTAATGTTAGGTTGAGTTGCGTTTGTGTGTGAATTTGTTTTGTTAGATTGGAGTTTTGGTAGTGGTAGGTCTAGGTTTACATTTGATTAAGTTAGTTGGGCCTTTCAGTGGAGTTTAGGTCTAAGTTATTGCCTTTGAAAAAGTTAAATTAATAACTTATCTATTAATAAGAGTATGCCTAAGTTAAGTTTACCTAAAAGGCTAACTTAGACCTACCACTACCAAAACTGCAATCTAACAAATTCACACACAAACAAACACCTAACCTAACCTAACAATCACTCTCTCTTGAGGAATCCGAAAAATATAAGTTAAGTAAACATTTAAATCTTAATAATTAATTCATGCACGCAAAACATTTAGGCTAATTGTCAATACCTAATAACAAATCAGCTTCAGCACACTCACAAAACGTTAATTTTCATAATCATAAAACACCTTTTCAAGCAGCTCAAGTCAAAAGTAAACAAACAGTAAAGATTAAAGAATAAACACCTTTTCAAAATCACAGTGCACAGTTCGCAACTGTAACTGTTGAAAAAAAACAACTATCTAAACAGAAACAGGTGCAATAAAGATATACGGTGAAGCTATTACACAAATACCTGTTATCCGAGGAACTGTTCAAAGTCCTTCTGTGCTTGTGGAAGCTGAGGTGCTCGTGGGTACAGAACGTCGAGTGTGATCTGACACATGCCTCACAGGAGTGTCTTCCCTCCAAATCTGATGTATTTAGAAAAAAAAAGTTCCAACTAACAGATGACTTCAGTGATGCCAACCTTAAGAAGACAAAATTCCCTACTCAATTATGACTTACATTTAGATAATTGGGAAACAGTGGAATCAACAGGCTCTTTCAAAAATCGTGATTCAAATTTAGATCATTGGGAAAGAAAGGGTTAATTAGTTTAGTTGTTCTCATACAGTAATTGGGTTGTGGCACCGCAGGCCGCGGCCTTGGAAATGGCGTCGCAAGTTGGGTTGTAACAGCTGTTTGTTTGAAAGCAAAGCAGCTATAGTTCGGCGCTTAGAAAACGACCTGCGCGCTAATGCTAAACCAATGCTGGAGGAGGTCGTAATGGCAATTTGTGTATTTACGAAAGCTCGGTTACTGGATTATTAAAATATCGACTCTGCTTTCAATGTACTGATATAGATTTTCAATTCTTATTGTTTCATTTTCAATATGTTGATAAATTTAAATAAAAAAAGTACGATTTAATGAGTTTTTGTCACCTGTATGCCATGTCATCTTTTGGGATATGGATTTAACCCCCACCCTATTTATTCTTCTTTGAGTCATCTCATTATTTTTTGTACATGGATTTTATCCCAAGAATGGCTAGAATTGTGTTGATAGGCAATGATCAATACTGGTATGCTGCCACTTTTTTTTACATCTTGTCCATTGGTTTCGCCACAGCCTTGTATTAGGAGGCCATGGTTGTAGTCATATTTTACCTTTCTTCAAAACACTAATTTCAGAGATCAGGTAATGATTTAACTGAATCAAGGGTAGCCCAATTCCTGGCATAAATGTTATTATAACTTTTCTGTACATTTTACATTACCAGGGTAAATTTACAGGCTACATTGGATGACTTTTTACACTCTTACTGGCTACCAAATTGCAAAATGGGGCTATTAACCATGTTATTAATAGTGATGCGAAAATCCATACATTAACTTACCAAAGTTTCAAAACCCATCAATAGAGGAGACTATCGTCTAGTTTTAAAACAAAACAATCTTATCAATTTTCATTACTTTACTTACAAGCAATCCCCACATTAATACGCAAGCACCACATATTCTTTTTTTTTTAGTTTAAGCACAACAGGAAATATATGTAATAGAAGTTCAATACTTAGGTCAATAACATAAAACATTTATTGATTAATACAATCGCTGGGGAGGCCCCATTGATGACTTGATGTGTAGGGACCTGACGTTCTGCCAGTGCTTCTTCAGCAGAGAGACGAGGAAGTTGACGGACAAGTGGACGTTCTGCACAAGCTCGTCCGGAGTCATCCCTACGTGACCCACGGCCACCGACAGACACAACACCTACACAAACAATCTATATGTTAGTACATTTTAATATGAAATTGTTTTTTAGTTACCTATTTAAAATTTTTACTCATGTTGAAGCCTTCTGGAAATTGGTAATCAATTTTAACAAGCTACATACCTTGGAAGTCCACAATTACTCAGTCGAACTTCCGTTGACTAGTTCAGTGACGTGTGACGGCCGGCAAACTATGTTAAATGTCTACCAAGTTATGAGTAGAATATTGTGATTAATATTTTTAAGAAAATTGACGACATTCTATAAATGAAATTTAACGTCCTGTTTTGAAAATTACTACTTGGTAGTCAAAACTAGTTAATGGAAGTTTTACTCCATGCACTCATTTCCCCATTTTTGGCCCTCAAAATGTCAAATAAACTTCACATTTGCCTTGGTGGGATCAAAACAACCGTGAACAGTTTTAATACCCGGGTTTTTGTTTCTCACTTGTAAAAAAAATTCCCACCGTCGTGTATTGTTTTGTTACGACATACTTGTCCCCATTTTTGGCCCTCAAAATGTTAAATTTTGTTATTTCTTTCTAAATTATTTTGTAAAAACAAGCTCAAAGATATACTATAAGTTATAATTTCTTGTCAAGGGACCTGTATCAAAATAAAATTTTGTATTTATTAAGTTATCAATCAATCAATCGATTATTGAGATGGGGACGCCACCTAGGTTAACTATTAAGATCAAGGGGATTTTGCCAAAATCCTCTCGCTCCTCCGCGAAATAGTGAAAATCAATCTAGCTCAGCAGTATTATTACTATTTTGAGCTAACCTTAGAATAAAACAGTAGGTTTAGGCCTACTACAAGTAAAAATAACTATAAGGTACAGTATTACAAGGAAAACCATGTTGCTTTTAAGATTTCATTTAAAAGGAACAGAGTCCAGCTTACCAGGAGAAATAGTCCCGGGCTAATAAATAGGTACACAATATGAGGTCACAAAAATAACACTAATGTTACGTCCAGTTATAGGCCTTCTTCAAACAGTGGGCTGAACAGATTCAAACACTTGTTTACAACCTACTCAAGAGGCCTAAGGAGTAACATCCGTGTTGTTTGTGATCTTTTATGTATGTATCCACATCCATTAAGGTTGATTCCCAAATGCCAGTCCAGTCACAGTTCCGTTACAGTCAGAGTTCCGTTACAGTTGCATCCGCAATTCCTCAGTCTACTGTCCGTCATCTGGTTTCGGTCAGTCTTCCGTCAATATTGGTAATATTTACAGTGATGTTACAGTAAGAATTTTAAATTTAAACACAATATTCTATCAAATGTCCATCCTCCATCTTGTTACTCAAAATATAAACAAAATTATTTCAATAACAACAACACTATTTTATAACCTCAAACACGTCCGTCAGGCTTTCGAACAATGAACAATCCAAAAATATCGGTGGGAAGAAATCTGAAATTGATTAACGAACGCCGGCAGCGCAACTGACAGACCTGCGCTGGATGAGTGTAGATAGCACAATGGAAAATCCATTATTGGCTTTGACGTGACTGGCCTGTGACATGTGTGGATCGACCTTTAGCCTCCGTATTTTTAGGTAAGCTAGCTTAACACTTCCTCTCTTCAAAACAATCACCAACCATCCACTTGGAATCTCTTTAAAATCCAAAGGTACATAAAATGTATAAAATGAAACGAACCTTCTTCATCTGGAACTTGATGGTGGCCTTGACTTCATCGATCTTCTGTACCATGGACTCCTGGTGAGATAGCAGACCAGGGAACTTACCAGCCTTGTTCAGACCGGGACCCAACAGACGAGGGATCTGCTTGATCAGAGCGTCACTCGCCAGGAACGCATCGTATTTCTTAGCTGCAAACAAACGTTAACTTTGACAAAACTATAGCAAAGCTAAGCTAGTTCTGAGATTGAATCCTTGAGTACAGAACATTTTGTTAGCTTACAGATGATTTAAATTGTTCATGCATGAGTTGTTAATTATTAAGGGTTTGTTTTTAGTTACTCAGCTGATAAATTGGTACAATAGAACCAATAGTATAATACAGTAAATGTACAGTGTTGATCATACAATGTACAGTAAGACAATAGTAATAGACTAAATTATCAAATCTTTAACTGAATAGCTGCTTATTTGCAATAGCAATATCGAAAACAAGCTGGAAGTCGTTTTGAGAAGTTATCTTTACATATAAAGTATTTTGATTTCTAATTTAGTTCAATAAACAAAGTTGTTGTTGCAGTATGACAAAATATAGTTTGTCACACAGGCCAAACATGTCTTTTCAACCCTCGCCCATTTTTCAATCTCAGCTTTGACTTAATCGTAAAACTCGAGCACGGGTCAAAAGAGTCACTTTACGCCCTAGTGATGAAATATAGTTTTGCAATTTGGTAATGACTTTGATAACAAAATAAACAAACTATCCAGAAATCGTTGAGATTGCTTACCCAATTTCTTGACCAGTTTCTTGTTCTTGTTGAGCTTCTTCAAAGCCTCAACGTCCATGTAAGGGACATTGTTAGCCTTGGCCTCGTCACAATGCTGTTGGTCCCCAAGGACACACACCTGCATCTTGGGCCGGGGAATGTGCTTCAGCCTAAACAATAATTAGATCAGTTGAGAAACCACCCACGTTTATAAACCAAAAGGCAAAAACCGTTTTGGATGTGACAAGTTTTTCTTCAATACCCTAGATAATAACTGGAAGCAAAAATACTCTTTGGGTTTATTGATCTATAAAATATTGATCTATTGACACTAAACCGGTAGTAAATATCCAAAACAATTGAAACACTATGAAATTTAAATAGGCAATTATTAATAGTTTCAAAATCAAAATCTAGAGTACCTGGCCTGCCAATAACTTTTTACTCTGAAAACACAATTTTGAGAATTATTGTCATGATAACATCTCTAAAGAGAAAATCATAACCTCAAACTGACAATATACGATAGGTTTGTTTAAATTTAGCTGTGCTAGGTTTGTTCACATTATTTCCTGATTTCTCTATCTGATACATTTGTTCAACCATATTTAAGTTATTCAACTATTTTATTTGACGCTAAATAACTACCACCAAACTTCTACTTAATACAGATGACTGAGTACTAAGAGTACAACCTACATTAAAAAGTCAAAAAAGGACAACAATTAATATGAGCTTACTCACCACAGAGACCCGGGAAGGACAAGACTTATCTAGCGGGAATGTTGCCATTCCCTCCCCAATATTTAAGACCCTGGGTGAGGGTCCGCCGGGTGAGGCCCAGCTCCCTAGAGCACTGAGACTGGATGTTACTGGGTTACTCTGTTGCAATCCAACCACACCGTCCGATCTTTGGTGCAACAAGCTAAAATGTTATCAAAAATTAATTATTTCAATTAGGCGTTCAACCTTATTGAATGCTAAAAATTTGTACCCATTCAACATCCAGTCTCAGTGCTTAGGTAGAAAATCAAGAACATACTTGACAGTGCCAGAAAAACGCTTGTCCTTTTGGGGGTCGTAGTTCTTCAGACCGATTTGTATCTCAACCGTTTCCAGGAAATTCCTCTTCTTCTCCTGCGAGTTGGTGATGACTGCATTGACACACTCGTAGAGAGTGTCACGGGAAACTTTGGACCTGGCATAGAAAATTCACAATCAGCAAAATTCATTGGCAGTTATAATCTTTTGAAATCACAGGCTGGCAAACTTTTTGAGATAAAGACACATGATTAGGAGAAAGCGTGCTAGCCTATTTATTTAACTCCTAAAATGACCTTGAGTAGCCTAGTTTTTGAATAATTCAAAAGTAAAATATCCCAATGTGGAACTGTTAGGTTAGTAAACGACGTTAATAAGATACTAGGCTTTAACATAAATTTAAGAGCAACAAACTAGATGGGCTTTGCTAACATTACAGATTGTGACATCTAAGCTGGCACTTGGCCTAGAGCGGCAGTGTAGGCGGGTGGAGGTAGAGAAAAGACAGGACTGCAAACATTTCCGCTGCCTCACAGGGTTCACTCCCCTTGTTTTAAGTAATTGAGCGCCTTCATATGGGTCGCGAGGACAGTTGATGCAACCTGCATGACGGGATATGTTTTTGAAATAGGTACTAGTAGCAATCGGCCAAATGCCAGCTTATAAGTCACAAGTTGCACCCTACTTAAGTTAAGCAAAGAGAAAACGAGGAATAACACTTGAGCTACGGTATACAGCCAGAGTCATTTAGCCTAGGGAAGGAATCATCCCATAACTACGAGTCATTTTATTTCCAAGTATTTTTTATTTAGAGTGATCGGAATTCCCGGGTATCAAACAGAATTATAACTTATTCCAAGCTATAGGCCAACAAGGTGGAAAAAGCCCTGGGACAGTTCAAAACTTCAAAGAATAATAAATGATAAAACTTACGACTATGAAACTTGGTACAAAGTGACTAGGCATAAAGGACATTTTTAACATTATTCAGGGAAACGTTATCTCCTCCGGGAGCCAGCACACAAGGAGTCAGAAGGAAATTAGGTTAAAGAAAAATTCTAACTTAATCTTTGAACGGCTGCCATTTTAGACTCGGTTGTCAGTTTGGGATTGCAGCATTGTACTTTACCACAGACAATAGACCATTAGACATAGACCATAAATGGACTACTTAGCGTAAAGTAATAAAGTAATAAATGGAGGAAACTTAGCGTAGGCTATCACCGAATAATGTGTTAACATTACTTTAACTTAATTTCCAGTAACTTTATGCTAAGATTTGTGATTCCATCTCTGCATTATTGGTGTCCCAGGTTTCTTTCCACCATGTAACTTAAGTTAAACCAACTAACAGATCACAAATTGGGTCATTCCATATGAAATCAACCAATAAAAAATTATTTTCAACCTGACCATCTTAGATTTTGATGAAATTTTGCATACTTGTAGTATTTTGAGTCCTGAATCCAAATATGCTTTTTAAAAAAATCTATCTTTTATAGTTTTTATGATATAAATATTTGAAAATGGTAAAAATTGGCGTTTTTTACCGTGCGCGCAAATCTAAAATGTTGTCTAGGATGAGTTCTATTAATCCTATCAAGTTGTACAATGGCTCATTTTAAAGAGGATTCAAGTGCCTTTAATCTGATACCAAACTCAACCTACTTTGGTAAAAATTAATTTTTTTTGAAAATTTCAAAATATGTTTTTGAAAAAAAATTTAAGATAGTGTTTTTTGAAAAATTTGAAAATTACATATGTTAAAGAATGTAATCTAGTAAGTACATTATAAAAATTTCAAAATGGGATGATAATGGGATCAGCAGTTATGATAAAAATACTTGACTATGGTTCACTGTTTCCAAGCATTTCGGCGCATACAGCGTGTAAGTACTAACCTAAATGTATCATTAAATAAGAGTCTATTAATTATATGATTAAAATTAAAAATATCTGCCTATATTTGAATTATGTATGTCATATTTTGCTATATATAAACTAAATAAAGCAAGTAAACATCATTATTCAAGTTAACAGAGTTTCCGTCAACCTTTGAACAAATATGGACCAATTTGTTTTGGTTCAGGTTCCTCAGTCTTTTCCAGTTAGTTGTGTTGCAACGATTTACTGTAATCAATCTTTAAGTCTGCCTTTTCACTAGGCTGGAGACTAGTCAGCCACTAGATCTGTGCAAAATCACATTGTGAAGCACTTTACGTTTACACTATCAGGTTGCAGCGACCCATCTCGGCTGTAGCGACTCGGTCTTGAGACAAGAGGAAAGACTGACAAACATAAGTTAGACCTGTGTACCTGTCAAACAAATTACAACTGCTCAAGACCGGGTCGCTACTGCCGAGGTGGGTCGCTGCGACCTGATAGTGTAAACGTAAAGTGCTTCACAATGTGGTTTTGCACAGATCTAGTGGCTGACTAGTGTCTCCAGCCTAGTGAAAAGGCAGACTTAAAGATTAATTACAGTAAATCGTTGCAATACAACTGGAAAATACTCAGGAACCTGAGCCAAAACCCATAGGTCCATGTTTGTCTGTCTTTCCTCTCGTGACAAGAGAGAGAGACAAACAAGCATTGATAATTTTGTCACACAATATACTGTGATCAATCTATATAAATCCTGTAGTAACCTTATTATTGATACATAGATAATATTCCATGATAGCCTAATTATTTAGTTTTGGGGAAATGTCTGCTCATAAGTATAAATAATGTATTCTCACTTTAACAATTAAATTTTTTTAGTGAAAACTGATTTGTGGATTTAAATACCACAAACCACATACCACATTGCTGTATAACTTCTATTTTGATATGTCAAAAATTAAAAAAAGTTACGGAGAATTTTCAAAATGTCCGTCCGGTTATTTTTTAATTTTGCAAGGGTATTTTTAAATATCATAGCAGTCAAATAAAGGAATTGGATTATGGCTGCTAATAATAACTAAAGCTCAAAACATCTGTTTTCATTAGAAAAATCATTTTCAAAAATAACACTTAAAACCCAAGTATTTCTTTTTCATGTCCGGGAAATTTTGCTCCAGATCTAAGGGTCGCGACGCCATAAGTAAGGGTCAGCAAATTGGGTAATTTTTTCTTTCTTTTTAGCGAATTTCCCTATAGGGAAGTAGCTATTACCGTAGGTCTCATGGTAAGACTTAGGCCCGGGACCGATTTACTTTTTCATTTTAATGTCCCCAGAGGCCAAAAACACCATTCATTCAAATTTTTATATATGTATATATATATATATAGGTATATATATATATATAGATTTATATATATATATATGTGTCCGTGAACACGATAACTTGAGTAATTTTTATCCGATTTTGATGAAATTTGGTTTGAAGGTGTAAGGCGGGATAAACTTGAATGAGTTCGCGATCCAGCATGATCGGACCATGGGAACAGGGTTTTATGGGGGGTTTTATGGGGTAAAAATTGGTTTTTCTCACTTTTTACCCTCAAAACACAAAATTTCCCAATTTTTCTCTAAACCTTCTTAAAGAGCTTAAAAAAACAAACAATTCAGTATATCAAAGTGTTTTTGTACGGTTATTGGTTACGGAGAAAACTAAAAAAAATTGTAAATTTAAAATTCTCATGTTATTCTTATGGAGAATATTGTAAAATGTTGTAGTTTGCTTGTTTATGGATATATTTTGATCAAACTTGGCAAATTTATTTATTTTATAGTAAGCTATCAATATTTTACTAAAAACACACTACTTGATTAGTTTCCTTGTAGCAGCAAACCTAGGTACTCGTTAAACCTAATGTTATTTAAATAGATCAATTGAAAATCAATTCGGCCAAATGGAAATTCGCTTAGACGGCAGGTTTGCTGCGGCGGGGGTATTTTAAAGTTATTACTGCTTATAAAGAAATCAAAGCAGGTATTTTCTTAATCCCAGATAAATGGGCTATTCAATTATGGTTTTAAGTCATAAATCATAAACTTACTGGGTTTGCTGTAGACATGGAAGTTTGGACGACTTTTTTTTACTAAAAAATGTCAGTGAAAAATAAGTATTTTTAATTTTTTGCAGAACCATAGTATGCACTATTAAATATTTTTTTAAGTAGAGTATTTATCTGGGAATAGAAAATTATAATAAACATTATCATTTAAAGATAAAATTAATATGAAAAAAAATAAAATATGAAAAGTGGAAAGTTTGTTCAAAGTAGCCCCCATGTTCAAAGGTTGACGGAAACTCTGTTAACTTGAATAATGTTGTTTATTTGCTAGATTTAGTTTATATTATAGCAAAATATGACATACATAGTTCAAATATAGGCAGATATTTTTAATTTTAATCATATAGTTAATAGACTCTTATTAAATGATACATTTAGGTTAGTACGTACGCTTGGAAAATGCTTGGAAACAGTGAACCATAGTCAAGTATTTTTATCATAACTGCTGATCCCATTATCATCCCATTTTGAAATTTGTATAATGTACTTACTAGATTACATTCTTTAACATATGTAATTTTCAAATTTTTCAAAAAACACTATCTTAAATTTTTTTTCAAAAACATATTTTGAAGTTTTCAAAAAAAATTAATTTTTACCAAAGTAGGTTGAGTTTGGTATCAGATTAAAGGCATTTGAATCCTCTTTAAAATGAGCCATTGTACAACTTGATAGGACCAATAGAACTCATCCTAGACAACATTTTAGATTTGCGCGCACGGTAAAAAACGCCAATTTTTACCATTTTCAAATATTTATATCATAAAAACTATAAAAAATAGATTTTTTTAAAAAGCATATTTGGATTCAGGACTCAAAATACTACAAGTATGCAAAATTTCATCAAAATCCAAGATGGTCAGGTTGAGAGCCTTGTTGATTTGATATGGAATGACCCAATTCTGAGCGATTAAAGAACTTAGGTAGGTGACCTTTCATATTAATTTTTTGTGTAATTTCTTCACTCACAAATGTGAGCTCTTTTTATCAAATCGGATGAGAAACAAATTATGAATTGGTTAGTGAATAAAGTTACTACCATGTTATATTGCTTATAATTTTATTTACATTCAACGAGTTTTGTTTAACCCCTCGACGGGCGCATTTACAACGTCACAGAGATTGCTAATTTTTACACGAAAATGAAACAAATCTCACTTAATATAGTATTTTTCAGTTCAGAAATGAATAATCTTTCGATTGATGTGCATTTAAACTATTTGGACGCCTTAGGAAAAATTAAAATTCTATGAAAATAACGCATCAGCTGACGACATTGTCATGATGACACAGTCTCTTATTACTGGGAGTCTGTTGTTACGAAATATACAGTAGAACCCCGGTTAACCGAAATAAAGGGGGGAGAGCCGTTTCGGATTACCAATTTTTCGGTTAACCCGGCATATGCTAAAAATAAATAGTCTATTTATTACCACTGTGTGTAGGAAAGATTCATTTAAAACAATTTTATAAAACTGCAGTGTTTTATTTCAGCTACAGAAAGGTTTTTAAGGGGTTAGATAATACTTTAAACTAAACAACTGAAGTTACAGAAGCATTTTGCATTACATAGGCTAACTTATTACTTACATTTTAGCCCTGTATTATTTTATGGAACCGTTTCGGTTAACCCAGGTTTCAGTTAACCGGAGTTCTACTGTAACTTGAAATAATATAATTTGAAAAATTTAATATATTGGTATGTAATATAACTAGAGTATTTTATTAATTATTTATTGTATGAAGATAGACCTGAATGTTTCGCTTCAAGTATTCGTGTAGGTTGTACAACGAATATGTATATGGTTATGGTGATAAAAACCGTTGTATGTATTTTTTTTAGAAACAAGGTACATGTATTGTAGGCTATATTATTTTTTTTGTCATGAAATTGTGCACAATTTGTAGCCTATATTTTGAAAAATATTTTGAGTTCATTGATTTGTGATATAATACGGAATAGGCCTATATATGCATATAAATAGGCTACAGAAAGAATTCCGCTTAGTAAATACCTATACAAAACAATTTTTTTTGGAAAATTAAAATTTCATATCTAAAATTTTATTTATTATCATTTTTATTATTTGTTTTATTTTTTTATTATTTTTTTCAATTTTTTTTATATAATATGATACATTTACAAACTTATTTACTGCATAAAAATGCGTAGTAAAAAATGTTACGTGACCCATAAAAAACCCTTGCCATTGCCACCACAGCATAAAAAGACCACCAGCTCGAGGATTAACATTGTAAAATCACACCCTTTTCATGCACAATAAGCAAAAAATTAAGTGGCAGTGAACTTTAACAAGAGAGCAGCAAAAAAACCTTTAGACAGTGAAAGAACGTTTGACTTATAGGTTCCCATGGTCACCTTAATACGCATAACCTTTGACTATTAAATGGCATAGGTACCTAACTTAATTTCCGCATTTTAAACTTTTAAAGCTTTTACGTAGGCTACCTTTGGATAAAAATGTATATGTAAGTAAAAGTTCAAATATTTGATTGATGGATTACATTTTTACTTTACCAAGTTTTAAGTTACTTAGGTTACCTATATGCGTGTAATTATGATAACAATCAAAAGTAAACACATTAAGTTAGGCTATAACAAGACTTTATTGTTGTTATATTGAGGATGCCTGTGCAACTCGTAAATTGCCTATTTTCGTTTTATAATTCAAATCAATGTCGGCAGGGGGGCGGGGCACAACTATGGTACCTCTTAGGCCCACAGTGTAGCCTTCATATAAGTTTAGTAACCGTGGGCCTGATTCCATGTCAATAAATTCAAGCCTAAACCACATCAAGTTACCCTACAATGCATTCATAACAGTCCCTACACCTACAACCGATAACATAGGCCTAGTCTGACACTTATACCAGGTTGAATTATAAAACTGGCACAATAAGCGGCAAGCAAAAAAACATATAACGGCAGTGGCTACTCTCAGAAACCTCTCACTGGAACATTAATTTACGTCCGGTAACCGACCGTGGATTAGGCGTCCAGCAGTGACGTTGGTTGTGGGTACTGATGTGACGAGTTGGGTTGACTTGAGTCAAGACCCGACTTTAGTCATCTCATTCACAACTCGAGTTGGTACGAACTCGTACAGAGATTGCCAAAGCTGCACCAACACGAAACGTGATGAGTCCGACTCGCAAAACTTAAACGCTATTGAGTCAAGAAACCGAACTCATACAGAGAAAGCCGAACCTTTACGAACTCGAGTATTAACGAGTTGACTAGGTTGACTCGCGAAACTTAACGCTATTGGCTGAATGCGAGTTGAGCCGACTTGCCAAACTATAACCCTAAGTATTGACTCATTGCGAGTCGACCCGAACTCACCGATGGAAGCCGAAGTTTCACGATGATACCGAGTAAAGTCTGACTCAAGTTGGCATGGTCATGAGTCAAGATTGACTTGAGCCAAGAAAACACTTGACACGTCACATCACTCGTTGTGGGGGCCCGGAACACATTATCACGATACGATGTACTGCACGTCGGTGTTGTTGGTGTAGTGGATAGAGTACCCGGCTGATGAGCAAAAGGTACTTAGTTCAGATCCCATCAGAGGTAGGCTATTTTAGTTACTTTTGGTCAAAGATTTTACTTCTAGTGCCATTTCTTCTGTAGGCCTAGGCCTAACTGTACATCTTTTTTTGGAATTTGAGGCATTTATAGTTTTATTTTATCAACAGAATTTAACCTTCATTCGGTTTTTTTCATCATCAGCAAGTTTGGTTGGTTGGGTTAAGTTATGATAGTAACTGCTGGACGCATAATCTTCGTCCAGTTACCGGAAGCGTATTGTATACTCTGCCTAGGCTAATTTATAAAAACGCTTTGATGAGCACACTCCTCGTGCGCCACAGGAAAGAGCAGCCAACCAACTTGTCAAGTTAGGCCTACTGTATTGAGGGGCACAAAATACTAGGCTATATTTGCACAGCCCATGAACCCATGTGTAGCCAATTGGGGCTAATTAACTTAGTAGGGCATCACAGTGAAAATACTGCTGTGAAAGTTGCCGTAGTGTGATATGTATTTAGGTTTATGGGTGATAGTGGTATTATAAAAATAAAACCAGAATCTACGTCCCAAAGATAGGCCTAACCTAGCATTGTAGCAAGTTATGCTCACGTTGACCAATGACCTACTACAAGTAAATGACGCTGACATGCGCGTAGAAATATTAACCACTATCTAAAATTGGAAATTAAAATAAGTATAATAATAAATAAAACACTTACGACATGATGTAAGGAGATAAATTCTATCCCTAACCCTACGCTGTAAACGCCACGCGTTCTAGTTTTAGACGAAAAGACCGACGAAGACGGAGAGAGAGAAAGAAGAAGAAGGAAGAGGAAAGAGAAAGAATGAGACGAGACCTTGCCGCCGTCAGACCGTCACCACTGAGCTAAGTCACCGCCCACCTTCGTCTGTCTAGAAACGGGACAGCGGAATTGAAATCCGAACTGAACATCTGATTGCGGGTTTCTGTCATCACCGAGCCTGTTTTAAATTACGCGGGAACGAAGTACAGTAGCCGTTTAATGTTAAACTAGTGTCCCTGTTGCTCGAAATCGAGCAATTGCTGAGTATTACAGGCGTTATTTTAAAACGAATTTCAACCAAGTCAGCAAGTTTGCAGCAAACTGTTAAATTAGCAAACTTATTGACTGTTTACAATTAACATATGCTCTTCTTCTCACTTTTGATTTCTGACAACAGCTGGAGTTTCATAACAATTTTTGTTTCCAATGTTAATCTTATGGAGAAAATTTAATACTCATATAGATCTATTATTATTACAAGAAGGTCGTAAATCACATTATTGTTTAATTCGTGATTTTGACAAGTTAATGTTCCACTCTACAAAATATGACTATAAGAAGCATTTTTGCAAGTTGTGTTTGCAACATTTTTACACTAATGATATATTAGAATGTCACACAACATATTGTAAAAACTTTGAAGCCCAACGAGTGGAAATGTCTCAACAAGATACATTGCAATTTAAAACTATAAATATCAACTTAAAGCTCCATATGTTATTTATGCAGATTTTGAATGCTTTATAAACTCTAACAACCATACTCCATCTGGATTTGCATTTGTTGTAATGAGAGAGTCTAAGATTATTTCTGAAGAGTTATATAGTGGTGAAAATGTTATGGATGTGTTTTTCAAAAGGTCGTTTGAGGCTGTTGATAAAAAAAGTACGATTTAATGAGCTATTGTCACCTGTATGTCATGTTATCTTATGGGACGTGGATTTAAACCCCACCCTATTTATTCTTCTTTGAGTCATCTCATTATTTTTTGTACATGGATTTTATCCCAAGAATGGCTAGAATTGTGTTGATAGGCAATGATCAATTCTGGTATGCTGCCACTTTTTTTACATCTTGTCCATTGGTTTCGCCACAGCCTTGTATTAGGAGGCCATGGTTGTAGTCATATTTTACCATTTATCAAAACACTAAAATTCAGAGATCAGGTAATGATCCAACTGAATCAAGGGTAGCCCAATTCCTGGCATAAATGTTATTATAACTTTTCTGTACATTTTACATTACCAGGGTAAATTTACAGGCTACATTGGATGACTTTTTACACCCTTACTGGCTACCAAATTGCAAAATGGGGCTATTAACCATGTTATTAATAGTGATGCGAAAATCCATCTACATTAACTTACCAAAGTTTCAAAACCCATCAATAGAGGCGACTATCGTCTAGTTTTAAAACAAAACAATCTTATCAATTTTCATTACTTTACTTACAAGCAATCCCCACATTAATACGCAAGCACCACATATTCTTTTTTTTTTAGTTTAAGCATAACAGGAAATATATGTAATAAAAGTTCAATACTTAGGTCAATAACATAAAACATTTATTGATTAGTACAATCGCTGGGGAGGCCCCATTGATGACTTGATGTGTAGGGACCTGACGTTCTGCCAGTGCTTCTTCAGCAGAGAGACGAGGAAGTTGACGGACAAGTGGACGTTCTGCACAAGCTCGTCCGGAGTCATCCCTACGTGACCCACGGCCACCGACAGACACAACACCTACACAAACAATCTATATGTTAGTACATTTTAATATAAAATAGTTTTTTAGTTATTTAAAATTTTTACTCATGTTGAAGCCTTCTGGAAATTAGTAATCAATTTTAAAACAAGCTACATACCTTGGAAATCCACAATTACTCAGTTGAACTTCCGTTGACTAGTTCAGTGACGTGTGACGGCGGGCAAACTATGTTAAATGTCTACCAAGTTATGAGTAGAATATTGTGATTAATATTTTTTTTTAAATTGACGACATTCTATGAATGAAATTTAACGTCCTGTTTTGAAAATTACTACTTGGTAGTCAAAACTAGTTAATGGAAGTTTGACTGAGGAATTGTGGATGTCAAGGTATGTAACCTGTTGTAATTTATTGGTTTTTCTCATTGAAGTTTTTAGCTAAGTGTAGACCTACCTACACTCATTTCCCCATTTTTGGCCCTCAAAATGTCTAAATAAAACTAAATAAAGGGGGTTAGTTGTAACTCAGTTTAGTTGTAACACAGTTCACAGTTGTAACACATATGTACTTATGTGTTACCGTTACCTGTAATAAAAATGTTTTTAGTATAACTATTGATTGTACTCAAAACGTTTCTGGGAGTACCGCAAACGAAAAGATAAGCGGAACCAGGGAGGACGGCACGCGGTGCGATTTATAAAGAACCTCTTTGCGTTACTAATTACTCTATTACACACGACTAGAAAATTTTATTTGAATTTGCTTGGTTATATCCTGAAGATCATCTCATTAGCTACAATTTTGTCGCTTAAAGTTTGCTTCTGACCAAAAAATAGAAAAAATCCTCGCTTAGTAACTTTTTCATGTCAAGATGTGATATTTGTTTAAAACTTTTAGTTGTTAAAATTCGAATTACGATTTAAATAAGATTATATTTATACCGTCAGATTCTGCAGTTAATGCAGATTCCGAATATATAACTTTAATTGCAGTCAATCTATTTTATGCACGGCCAGGAGCGTATTAACAACCGCATGCAAGGCTTGAGGAACTGACATATCTGCGTCGAGTCCCCCTTTGTGGTGGGGGAAGGTTGCTGAAACGGCGCGCTTTTTATCCCAAATCTCCTATCTACCCGGTGTTCCAGTTGTGTTATATACTTCGATGGTCATCTGGTTTCAGTTAGTCTTCCGTCAATATTAGTAATATTGACAGTGAGTGATGTTACAGTAAAGAATTTTAAATTTAAACACAATATTCTATCAAATGTCCATCCTCCATCTTGTTACTCAAAATATAAACAAAATTATTTAAATAACAACAACACTATTTTATAACCTCAAACACGTCCGTCAGGCTTTCGAACAATGAACAATCCAAAAATATCGGTGGGAAGAAATCTGAAATTGATTGACGAACGCCGGCAGGGCAACTGAGAGACCTGCGCTGGATGAGTGTAGATAGCACAATGGAAAATCCATTATTGGCTTTGACGTGACTGGCCTGTGACTTGATATGTGTGGATCGACCTTTAGCCTCCGTATTTTAAGGTAAGCTAGCTTAACACTTCCTCTCTTCAAAACAATTACCAACCATCCACTTGGAATCTCTTTAAAATCCAAAGGTACATAAAATGTATAAAATGAAACGAACCTTCTTCATCTGGAACTTGATGGTGGCCTTGACTTCATCGATCTTCTGTACCATGGACTCCTGGTGAGATAGCAGACCAGGGAACTTACCAGCCTTGTTCAGACCGGGACCCAACAGACGAGGGATCTGCTTGATCAGAGCGTCACTCGCCAGGAACGCATCGTATTTCTTAGCTGCAAACAAACGTTAACTTTGACAAAACCATAGAAAAGCTAAGCTAGTTCTGAGATTGAATCCTTGAGTACAGAACATGTTGTTAGCTTACAGATGATTCAAATTGTTCATGCAAGAGTTGTTAATTATTAAGGGTTCGTTTTTAGTTACTCAGCTGATAAATCAGTACAATAGAACCAATAGTATAATACAGTAAATGTACAGTGTTGATCATACAATGTACAGTAAGACAATCGTAATAGACAAAATTATCAAATCTTTAACTGAACAGCTGCTTATTTGCAATAGCAATATCGAAAACAAGCTGGAAGTCGTTTTGAGAAGTTATATTTACATATAAAGTATTTTGATTTCTAATTTAGTTCAATAAACAAAGTTGTTGTTGCAGTTTGACAAAATATAGTTTATCACACAGGCCAAACGTGTCTTTTCAACCCTCGCTAATTTTTCAATCTCAGCTTTGACTTGCTCGTAAAACTTGAGCACGGGTCAAAAAGAGTCACTTTGCGCCCTAGTGATGAAATATAGTTATGCAATTTGGTAATGACTTTGATAACAAAATAAACAAACTATCCAGAAATCGTTGAGATTGCTTACCCAATTTCTTGACCAGTTTCTTGTTCTTGTTGAGCTTCTTCAAAGCCTCAACGTCCATGTAAGGGACATCGTTAGCCTTGGCCTCGTCACAATGCTGTTGGTCCCCGAGAACACACACCTGCATCTTGGGCCGGGGAATGTTCTTCAGCCTAAACAATAATTAGATCAGTTGAGAAACCACCCACATTTATAAACCATAATAAGGCGAAAACCGTTTTGGATGTGACAAGTTTTTTTTTTAATACTGTTAGATATTTTAATAATGTAACATTTAAATGTAGTAACTCAATTTATACTTTATTTAATCACAATTCTATTATGTAACTAAATCATCATATAAACAATAATAAAATAAGAACAGATGTTTATGAACCACTTATAGCCAGTAGTTTTGGAATGTACACATCAATCCTCCCCCTTGAATTTGGTCGGTAACATGTGATTGACATGCCGTCTCCATATAGATCCATCATCCATTTTCAGAACATAAATTAACCCCTTCGCTTAAACTTATTTTTACACCTAACCGGGCCAAAAAAATGAATTATTTCCATGTAATTTTACACAATTTACAATATTTTTACCTGCACTCAGAATTTTGTATTTGTATATCAAATACTGTTATTTTTCTAATCAGAATTGAATTTAGATTTAAAAAAACAAACATTTTATTGGTTAAAAGTATTTTTATTATTTTTTTATTTCATATAATACAAAAAAAAATTGTAAAAAAAATTTTATTTTTGCCTTTTTTAAAAATTTTTGACTATAAAAGTTAAAAATATCTTACTGTTCTGCCTTAAAATACTGATTGACATGGGAAGTTTGCTGATTGACCCTGGCTCTTTTCTTGGGGTTGAATTGCACATACCCCAACCTCCCACGAAATTTCATCAAGCTTTCATCTAC